TCTCTCTCTCTCTCTCTCTCTCTCTCTCTCTCTCTCTCTCTCTCTCTCTCTCTGTCTTTCTGGAGTACTGGGGATTGAACTCACAGAGGCCTTCACACTGAGCTACATCTCCAGCCATTTTTATTTTGAGGTTGGATCTCCTGAAGCGTCTAAGTTGTCTAGCTGGTCTCAAACTTGCAGTCTTCCTGCCTCAGCCTCCCAAAGTGCTGGGACTCAGTCATGAGCCACTCCATACCTGGCCTGATCATTAGCATTTCCTAACGATATAGAAGGTAGTTTCTCAGGGTGTGAATCCACCGACCCCCCAGACTAGAATCACACAGAAGGCTGGTTACAGACACAAACTTTTGAGCATTGGATAACTGTCCTGAGTTTGATATCTGATGGGTCCAGAGAACATATTTGATTGTGGACAAGCTCTGGGATTGCTGTAGCAGGTAGTAAACTTCCAGATGCACTGTACTGAAAGTTCTGCAGCATGGCAGTTCTGCACCAGTGTCCCCAGCTCACCAAGGATGGTGAAGGGTGCAGTGCTTCTGCTTAAGTAGCTGCAAAGTAAATCTACCCTCATCAATGGACAACAAACAAAATCGAAGAAAGGAATTACCACTTTATTTCTAAGTTTTTTTACTTCAAAGGGCAAAGCTTTAGTTATTAGGAAAATTCATTTATGAGGAATACTCTATTCCTTAAAAAGGTTGGCTAAAGGACATGTCATTGTATTAATGTCTGCTTTACACATAAAGTATAATTTTACCCATTATATCATAAAATGCAAAATCACATTTGGATTTGAATAAAGAGCTGAAAGCATGCATATTTTCAAAGCCATGAAGAAATTATGTCTACCTCAAGTCAAGTAAGTATATGAGCAATGATAGGTAAAGAACGAGTAATACAAAGTACTGTTATTTGAAAAGAATACAGTCAAAAGTTATGTGCTCAAAGTGGTATGAGAAGTGTGTCAAATCTGAGATTGTTTTTCCATGCACCAGATTTTTTTAAAAAATCAATGTCAAGAATACCCAGGGCAGCATTGTGTTATTTTTCTTCTCCATCATTGCAAGCTGCATCCGCACCACAAATTGTGACTCTTTAGCCAACTCCAATTCCCAGCTGTCTCCGGGCTGCTGGTGTGGGCACCGTGCAGTCCCACAACTGACCTCTCCCTCTGGCTCCAGTGTCCACACACAGCCAAGTTCTGCAGGACGGGAAATCCGTCCAGTCCGCTCCACACAATCTAGGCACAAGGAAAGAGAAGCCTACACTGCAGAGACCCAAACTGTCCTCAGTGCAACAGAGCATAGCAGCAATCAGGGCAAGTTTCTGTTCGAACCCCAGCCTCACCATGTGAAACTCTTCTGCAGAACAGCTTCGCTTCAGCCAGTGTTGCCCAGACTGCCGATGTCCAGCTTTAGAGTTCTTAACATTCCAAAGCCACGTTAGCAAACTAGTTCAACTCACAGACTCCGCTTCCTCACTAGATGATTCTGTTAGGGCTCCCTTGAAACAGGAGGATTTTGGGCACACTGATCTCTTTCACTATACCAAGGAGACAGTTTAAATGCATGCCATTCAGTTATGTCTATGTCATGAGAGAAACCAAAATATCCACTTAACAAGCTGAAGACATGCAGCTGGATGTGGTGGCACACACCTGTAATTTCTGCAGCAAGAGGGTGGAAACTTCAAGACCAGCTTGGGTAATTGGGTGACTTAACAAAACCTTATCTCAACATGAAAAAGAGAGAGAAAGAAAAAGGGCCTGGGATGTAGCTCAGTGCAAATGCCCTGGGTTCAATCCCCAACACTATTAAAAACAATCTCAACATTGAAGAGAGGTCACCTGTTTGAGGGAAGAGAGGGGCGCTTGCTGCAAACTTACAGAGGTCACAGCCCCTGGCGTAAGCCGCCCATGCCAGCTTCCCCGTGCCTCCAACTCCCATCGAAAGCGCTTTCTCCTCTCACAGGTGGTCACTGGTAACTGTCCCAGTATCTATTCACACAGCAGTGGCCTGGATGATGTCAGCCCCTGATGGGCGATGCTGTTCTGTCCCCCAGTGAAACACTCACCTTCGCTAGCCAACACCTTCTTAACGCTGGAAATCACACTACCCTTAACCTTCCTTGGAGCCGCTTAACAGCTCACCATCTGTCCCATCAAAACAATGTACTGGGAAGCTGAGCTTGAGTGCGACACTGTAGTAAAGTTTGGAAAGAATTTGATCCAACAGTAAATGCATCCTTCTTGCTGAGGCAATAGCAGCAACCATCAGGACCAGAGGGATGTGGACCCTGAGAGAGGAAGGACCGCAGGGCCCCAGGGGAAGGGGATGTCAGTCTTGCAGACCTTTGTAGATGTACCCAGCTCTGAAATGATAAATGTTTTTACATTAATTGTAAAACTCCAAAACTCAAATAAATAAATTAAGGAATAAATATCCTGCAAAAAAAAAATTTTAAGAGAAAAATTTGACAGGCTTTACATCAGGTGGCTTCTTTCAAAAAGGCTGATTTATTGGAGATGTGGTGTCTCACCACTGTTTTCATTCACTATTTTTATTCAGCTGTGATGAAAACTAATATTTGAATCAAACTGAACAAGACAGGATAAACTGAATGGATTTATCTGGAACCAATAATACTGTACTTACTCAGGTGTTTGCCCACCCTCCAAAAAATGTGTGTAAGGAAGGACTTCTCAATCCACTGAGCGAATCAACTTTTTCAGTGAGAAGAGACAAATAAAAAGGCCACCTACTTCAACTAATTCATTAACTGTATCCTTCTCCAGGAGAAATTCTCAACCCATATGCAGCTTTCTCTAACACTTAAAGAAAGAAAGCCATCGGTAACAGGTAAGGCATGGACTCCTGCTTGTTTCCAAAGGAAGCGAGCAAGCTGAATTCATCTTATTTCTGTTATTACTATTATTATCATTCGAACCCAGGGCCTTCACCCTGAGCTACATCCCCACCCTGTTTGTTGATGTTTTGTTTTGTTTTGTTTTGTTTGAGACAATTTCACTAAGCTGCTAACTTGCCCAGGCTGGACTTGAACTTGAGATCCCCTTGCCTCAGCCTCCCAGAGTGCTGGCATCACCCAACCTCCCCTCTCCATTGCACAAATAATACCCTCTGACTCCCCCTCCCACTCCCCCTACCTCGCTGCACCCCACCCTCAGTTCTGTTCCAACCCTGAAACTGGACACCGAAGACACCTTTGCGTACATTTTTTTCAAAGGAAGCTGCAGTTGGGCTTCGAAGTAGATTCTCCCCAGGGCCACAGCGCTGTTCTGTAGGCCAAAGATGCTAAGTTGCAGTGCTTTGCTCCTTTACTCTCCCCTCACTATAAGTAGCGTAACCGCAGGTCCCTGTTGCTACGGGAGCATTTCCTGCTGGACTCTCTCTCTCCAAACTACGGAGCAGAACAGATGTGGAAATGTTGTGAGAAAATCCCTTGCTACCCAAGCTCCTGAAATTCCTTTTCTAAAGCTCGAACACTGGTCCCCTTATAGGACTGTACCCATGGCGAGAAGCCTGAGTGCTACTTTACCACTCTGCCTTTTCTTACCTGGGGGCTGCCAAGCGTGTCCTTTCACCTGTTTCTCGGTGCTTCACTGAGTCAATGCCAGCAACGCTTACTGAATGGCCGCTGTCAACCCAACTCCTTGCCAGTTCCTGAGCAGCTCAGCCCAGAGACCTGGCCCATCCCTAGTGTGACTGCACAGACGTGGAATGTGGCTGGGGCGAGTCAGGAACTGGATTTCAAGTTTCACTGAATTTTCACTCATTTAAGAATGGTTGCAGGAGAGAGAGGAGAAGTAAAAAAGAATCAAGATGGGTTGTATGCGTGCACCAACCCCTCACGGTGGGTGTCCTCATTATACACTGCAGAGATGGACTAATAAAACTTTTTAAATTATAAATGAATAGATTTAGAAAGTGGCATTTCATTCAGTGGTTTGGAAAAAGTGTGTTCAGAACAACTTGAGCAATGGAATCTAAGTTGCAACTGTTAATTTCATGAAATCTAAACGTAGATCAGTTACCTCCAATGAAAGTGCACTGTCCGGATTGAGACGTGCTATAATAAGACCCATTTGGAGAAAAAGAGTGTAATAGCCCCATTAACCACTGTCTACCTGGACTCCACATTGGAAATGTGACGTGTTGGGTACAGTCACCCCCTGGCAGCTGCAGGGCAATGCTTCCTGAACAGCCCCACCCAGAGAGACCCAAATCTGTGGATGATCAATTCCTTGATCATGGAGTACTATCTGGATATAACTTGGATTAGTCAATTTCCTATGGCTGGGACAAAATACCTTACACATTTAGCTTAAAGGTAGGAATGTAAACTGTTACGATCATTATGGAAATAAGTATGGAGATTTCTCAAAGAACTAAAACTAGAAGTTCCACTTGACCCACTTTTTCCCTTTTATTTATCATCCCAAAAGAGTTAAAGCATCATATTACAGTGATCCATGCACAGCCGTGTTTATAGCAGCACAGCTCATAATACTAAATCTTGGAAGCTGCCTATCAGCAGATCAGTGGATAAAGAAATTGTGGTGTTGTATTACTCTGCCATAAAAAAGATAAACTTCAGTCATCTGTAGGAAAATGGATGCAGCTTGAGGGCACAGTGTTAAATGAAATAAATCAGACTCACAAGCTTAAATATCCCATGATTTCTTTTGTGTGAGAAACCCAAAGTATAAATGAAGAGCAAAGTAAAAGGTAGCTGGTAGAAATTAGAAGATAGACCTTTCTCAAATGGGAAGGGATCAAGGGATGGAGCAGGGAGGAGGGAGAGGAGCAGGAGGGAGTGAGAAAAAGAACTGAGATGTGCCCTGTCCCTGCACCACACGAGGAGTGTGAGCACTGTGTGCTATGAGGAGCGACTAAAAAAACATAAAAATACAAAATGAAACCAAAAGAAGGCGGGAGCTTTCATCTGTCTCATGGTTCTGGAGGGTTCAGTCCATAGTCGCTGGCTCCGAGGCAGCAGCAGTATGGCAGAGGGCCATGGCAGAGCAGAGCTGCTTATGTCACAATGGTCAAGAGGAAGAGAGAGTAGAATAGAGGTGGCAGGGAAAGAGACCCTTCCAGCCCACACCCAGTGACCGCCTCTGGCCAGGCCTGGGCTCCTCACGGTATATTCCTCTTCCAAATGCATCCGTTGGTGAATGTACCAGTGAGTGTTGCAGCCCAGGAGCCAATCCCCTTCCAAATCATATAAGACTTTCGGGTGACATTTTAGACCTAGACCAAACATAAACCACCCTCGTCCCACTGTGTATTGTAGATCATCACCAGGTTGCTTACAACAGCTTCATATGATGTAGATGACATGTGTTTGGTGTGAGGTTAGGTTATTTAGGGAGTAATAACAAGAAGAGAAGTCAGCACATGTTTGGCGCAAATGCAAATACTTTTCCAAATATTTTTGAACACAGAGGCAAAACCCATGGGTATGGAGGATCGGCCCTGTTGGGTTAAATAAATCATGTCTTCCCAGTTCCTTCACTGATTTCTGTTTCATATTTTTACAGGACTTGCTGTGGCCCCCATTATGTCTCTGTGGGATGATATAGCCCCAGACCTCCATAACACTTATCTTGTCTCATGCAGCCTGTCTAGGATTTTCCTGTAGAAGATCTTACTGTATTTTCCTCCCAGCCTCCATATCCCACTTATTTCTGGATATATCTTAGTCTATTTCTTATCACTGAAACTTAATACTCAACACTAGCAAATTAAAGAAGAAGAAATTTATTTTGCCTCATAGTTTGCAGAGGATCCAGTCCATGGTCCACCGGCTCCAAAGCAGGAACCACATGGAGCATGGCCTGTGGAGGAGAACCGCTCGCCTGATGGACAGGAAGCAGAGACAGAGGGGAGGAATCAGAAAGGGAGCGCAATCCCTCCAGGTCACGCTCCCAGAGACCACCTCTCCTGACCAGGTCCCACCCCCTAGCAGCATGTTTAGCTGTAAACTCAGCAGTGAACTAATCTACCCATAAGCATAGTGCACCCATGATCCTGGCACGTCCCAAAAGGCCCACTTGAGTGCATGAGACTTTGAGTGAACATCCAGCTATAAACTCTAACATGATATACCCAAAACATGACCCTCAGACCACACTTACTTTGTTGAAATATATTGATGTGTTCTGCTGTGTCCCAATCTGCTAAAATATAGGCAAGGCAAAGAAGGTTGGTTTCGAGTGCTTGCCTAGTGACTGCACACACAGGTTTCATACCCAGCAGAAACACAGAGTAGGGGCTTACAGAGAACCCTTCCCAGTCCTCACTGCAGCCCAGGAAGTTTATATTGGTAAACAATGAAAAGTTACTGGAATCTTAGTTGGTTAATTTCAATCTACTGCTTCCAGTGCAACCCACGGCAAGAATAAACTCACTAAGGCATGTTTGTAGTTATGGGGAGCCAAGGGGTGCTAAGTCCAGCCGCAGTGATGGCCATCCGGAGCAAAGGCCTCAACCCAAGGCTGAATCCAAATTTTATTCATTCATGAAGAAGAGAGTGGCTTGAGGATGAGTGACTGTGAGAATGGTGGGAAGTAGGTGAGTGCCATAGCTAGGCTAGGTAGAAGACCTGAAACCACCTCTGCAAATGCAGAGAGAAGGATCTGCAGAAAGAGTCATCTGCATAACACAACTGAGATAGAATCTAATGTTTTGGGGTTGGTGCTTGAGCTCTGATGTGTAATCTTTCACGTCCCAAGAAGTCATAGCCTCTATCTCGAAGCTCAATCCCAGCCAATAGTGTGGAGCATTGGCTCAGCATCTGGCCTCATCCCGGCTGACATGTACGAACAACTGGGGTCCAGGGAAACATGCCTGCAGTCTTCAAAGACTACCATTAGCACCTTGGCTAGACGAATGTGCATTGTTTAAAGCCAATTGAAGGATAAGGAAAAGTCCTAGCCAGCTCTGCACATACAAATACATGGAAGTAGGGTCAGGCTTAGCCAAAATGGAGACAATTGCCCCTCTTTCAAGGAAAGTCGCCCAGGTTGTCCTCCATGGGTGTTCATAACAGGTATTGTACAGAATAGTGAACAGAGCTGTTCTGGAGTGTTGGGATTCAGAAATTAAAAGGACTGATAAGTCTTTTCTTTTTTTTTGGTTTGTTTGTATTTTAAAATTTTTATTGGTGCATAATGATCACTTTCACCATAGGGAGTTTGTTCCTGTATATGGTGTATCTTGCTTCTTCCTTTTTTCCCATTCCCCTCCCTTCCCTTCAACCCCTCTTCCCCTCCTTATTTACAGAGCTTTGTTTCCATATTTTTCCTTCTGTTCTCTTTATTCTTGTCCCTTCTTTCCTTTCCTCCTTCCCTCTCTCTTGTTCTCATTTGACTATTTTCTTCCCATTTCCCAGTATCTATATACATTTTGGTCCTTATTTATACTTTTGATTTTTCTCACCAGAGAAGGAATGTGGTGTCCAATTTACTTCACTTAGGAGTATGGTCTCAAGGTGCATCCATTTACTAGAAATGTTTCAAGCCTATCATTCTTTATGGCAGAGTAGTACTCCATTTTTTTAAAACTATATCTTCTTTATCCACTCATAATTGAAGGGCATTAGGACTGATTCCAATATTTAGGTATTACAACTGTGCTGCTATAAACATGACTGTACATATGTTGTTGTGCTATGATACTTTTAATTCTTTTGGGAAGATTCTAAGAAGGGGAATAGCTGGGTGAAATGGAACCTTTAGTTTTAGTTTTTGAGGAATCTCCTCATTATTTCCACAGTGTTTGCACCAGTCTATAATCCCACAAATAGTGGAAAAGTGTTCCTTTTCCCCCATAGGCCCACCAGCATATGTCATTGGTTCCTTTCTTAGTAATATCCATTCTTTCTGGGGTGAGATGGAATCTCAGCATTGTTTTAACTTACATTTCTCAAATGACCAGTGATGTTGAATGTTTTTTTGCATATTTATTTACCATTTATATTTCTTATCTGAGAAGTGTCTATTCATTTCAGGTGCCCAGTTTTAGACTGGATCTTTAAATTTCACAGGTCTGATCTTTTATTTTTTATTTTTTATTTTGTGCTTGGAATCATACTCATGGCCTCACACTTGCAGGCAGGCACTGTGGTGCCGAGCTAAATCCTCAGCCCACAAAGGTCTGACATTTTGCATTCTTTATATGTTCCAGACATTAATCCTTTGTCTGAGGAATAGTAGGCAAAAATGTCTTCCAATCTGTGAGTTGTCTCTTCATTCTGTGGGGGTTTCTTTTTCTGTGTAAATCACTTTTAATATGATGAAATCCCAGTTGTTGATTCTTTGTGATATTTCCTGTGTGATCAGTGTTTTGTTCATAAAGTCTTTGCCTCATCAGTGTCTACAAGAGTTCTACTTATTCTATCTGCTAGCAGATTTAGTATTTCTGTTTTAATATTTAGAGTTTTGATCCATTTAGATTTTAGTGTAGTGCATGGTGAAAAATATGTCTATTTTTAATCTTTGCTGTGTGAGAAGCCAGTTTTTCCAGCATCATTTATTAAACAGCTTGTCTTTCTTCCAGTGAAGGCACTCGGCTTCTTTGTCAAAGATAAGGTGGCTGAGTGCATTTGGAGTTGTTTCTGCATCTTCTAATCTGGTCCATTGCTCCTCAAATCTGTTTTGTTTTTTTTGTTCTTTTTTTTT